AGAACCTGCTACCTCTCCATGCTCTCCTGGCCACACAGACCTACCTCTCCTGGGTGTCAGCCCTTGTCTGATCCTGCCAGGAACCAGTTCAGCACAGCAGACCAGAAACCCTGACAAAGAGTGATGAGTTTTCTCTGAGTTTAGCTCCCTGAGAATCAGCTTTACCATGGTCAAATGAATGGCACAGGAGGAGGAGTGCACCCTGGCAGTGGGGAGTGGGATCATGCCAGAGGGGCTGCAATAACTGGACTAGTTGTGTTAAAAACATGGTGAGTAAGTTCCACAAACTCTTGATGATTGAATTGCACACACTACAGTGATGTATGTCACAGGAATAATTATTTTAGAAGCACTTGAGATTTTCTTTCTGAAAGATTTTTGTTTCTCTCTCTCTCACTGCAGACTGGTGTTATACAAACACAAATCACACAGATTGTCCCAGAACCCAAACAACACTACTGAAGTCCACTGGGGCAGGGACACTGCTTGGCTGGTGATGTTATATTGCCATCATTCTAGGAAATTGCTAAATGAGGGTAAAGGTCCTACAGCACTAGAAAGCACAAGCTGGCTGTTGCTGCAGAAGCAGGCAAATAAGTGCCCAAGCCAAGAACTTGTAAGTACGTCACAGCCTTGAGGCACAAGCTAAAGCCATCAAAAAAAAATGCAAAACCAAAAGTCTAACACACTCACTGCATTCCCTCATCAGGCCTAGACCAAAAGCGGGATGTGGGAGATGGGATTTAGAGCAGTAAGTGGGACTTTCCATTTGTTTTGTGGGCGTTTTAGAAAAGTCCCTCCTGTTAGGCCTACAGCTAACTCAATCTATCTGCATGTCTAAAATTTTCCTGCTGCTGACCTGGTCAAAACCTGAGCACTGGAAATAAATTATCCAATGATTTAAAAAAAACAAAAACCAAAAAACTTCCCTTGCAAGTTGCTTATAAACCTGTCTTTATTTCTGCAGATGTACATAGCATTCAAAGCATTCACCAAAGAGCTTCTGCCAAAAATTTTAGCATAGGGTCTGTTTTCCGGAGTGATTATTTTATCTGTTTACTCTTTTTACTTTTGATGTATGAATGATTCCCTAAATGGTGATGTATTATTTCTGTTTCTCATCCCAGAGGATTGTAATTTTTTTAAACCAAGGAGTAAGAAACTATAAAAAGAAAGAAGCAACATACGCTACACGGTCTCTTTTGCAATATGAATGTAGATGGCATTCATCCGATGCACATCCTTTAAACGCTCATTTATGCAGAACATAACACTCATTCATGAATTAGAAAATATAAAAATGCAAACCTCATAAAATGCCGGAGCCATTTAGATTCAACACTAATCTTTGCCTCATTTTGCAGCGTTCATCCTGGGTTTTGACAAACCTAAGCTGTGGCAATAACGTGTGAGTGTTACTGACTTCAGCTGCCCACAGACTTTCCCCTGGTTACTGCCACTGCGGAGGGAGTGGTCGAACGGATGTCATTGCAGTTGCTCCCATTCAAAGCCTGGTATATTACTTTAAATCACCAATGAAATAGGGTCGTGTTAAGATGCCAAATCATGAGCTGCAGCAGCTGAGGTACACAGCAAAACAGATTTAATGGGTCTTTTGCTGCTGAAAAGAATGGCCCTGTATGGCTCTCTCTTTCTCACTCCCCCTGCAAATCTCTGTGCAAGGGGAGGGGATGAGAGTCAGGGGGAGTAATAGCATAAAGAGGTGCAGATAAATCAGCCAGAGTGTGACTGTCAAAGCTGTACTACTATCTTGATTTGTAAGCCTTTGTTTCCTGAAGCAAAAAAGAATTGGTGATAGGACTTTGTAAGTTTTTTTCTTTTGTTTCTCTCCCAAACATGTTTTTCTGATCCCAGCTATCTTGGAATATACTCTGTTATATCTCATCACATTATTGGTCTGCCTGCTCAGTTTCTTGTCAATAGCAGATGTTAAATAGGGGAAGGTGAAACTTTTGCTTGGAAGCCACAAATAAAAACGTCTGGTAAGAAAAATCCATTATTGAAATTAATTTGTGTTAAAGTTTTATCTTTTAACAGGTAAGCTAATCTTTCCAATGAAAGATTTTAATTTAAGCTTTGTCTTAGCACTTTGTCTGGCTAGCGTAGATCTGGCGAGGATGCTGTACAGCCTTGTGGCTCTTTTTTCCTTTCAGTCTTGTTTCCTTTTAGCATCTCTCTGTGCAATTTGAGGTTCTGTTAGTCTTCCTAGAAGTCAAAACTGGAAAAGAGACTGCTTTGAAACACGCTGAACAAGAAAAATGTTGTGAGGGAGTAAGTGGATTAATGGGAAATACCTCTTGCTGGTAAAGACCTGTTCCAGGTCTCACTTCTGGTCAGTTGGCAAAGATCTTCTCTAATGCTCTAATGTAAGACACCACTTGCAGTCTGGTCGGCAACCATGCTATTGCCTGTAGGGAGCTGAAAAGGGTTTTTATTTTTATCCTGCCATTGGATTATGGGATTTGAAGGTACCATTTTTAACTTGCATAACTGTAAATATTGTTACTGGTCATAACATTTTCCTGACCTCTTCTCAATGTTGCTCCAATATTTGTCTTTCTGACCTGTTCCAGGAGATGGCAAATTCCACAGGCTGATGACACGCTGGGCAAGGGAGTGCCTCATGTTAGGGAGACTTCTAGTTTTGCTAAATCAGCTCTTGTTCTCCTCTTTTAGGATGAGCAAAAAAGTGGGTGACCAATCGGTCATCCTTAGAAATGTCTTAAATCTTGATCTGTTCTAGCTCTCCGCTGTGCTAGGCTAGAGGCTCATATGATTTTTATTCTCTCATTACCTCTCCAGCCTGGCTATGCGAATGTTGTGTAAGAAATGCTCGTAGTTACGGTGCAACTGCTCTGGGACCCTATAAATAAAAATCCCTATTTCTGTACTGTATCACAGTTAACATTCGTAACTGTTCCTGCCACTCCAGCCAGGAGCTGAGGAGAAGCGAGTCACACGTCACCGCCCCAGAGTGTGCAGCACACGTTCCCACCGGCTCCTCATAAACCCACAGCTGGAAACTTCCAGGAAAACACCTGCTCTGCAGGCAGTGACTTTTAAATTTACTTTCTACTGAAAGACTTCTTCCCCACCCCCCTCCATCAATCCCCTCATCCCACACTTCTCGAGCCAAGTCATGCCAGGACCCTCTGCCTGTCCCAGCTGTGCAGCTGTATGCCATGCTCTTTCCCTCCCCTTCCAGCCCTGCATATTTTCTGGTCCTAAGAATGCAGAAATCTGTGTGCATTTGTGTGTGTTTTGTTCTTTCTGGTGGCTTCATGAAATCCCTGCAGGGTGTCACTAAGAAAATCTCGGTAGCGTGATTTTTCTTCTGGCATCCTGTTTAGAGGTAGATAGAAACACTCTGTATCTTTCTGCTCTAGAAACAGATCTGTATGCTCTTTTCAATATTATAACTCAAGGGAACATTGACCTTTAGGGCTTACCAACCTTTTCTGAGTATCGTAAAGACTGCTTTTGGCTGAAGGTTCCACGGATCACTTTTGGCTCTCATTTAATGTCAAAATGGGTTGAAAGAGAAAAGTCTGATGGCAGGAAAATCTCAAGTCCAGATTTTTCCATAGTTTATGAGCATTTTAATCTGCAAAGCTGATTTTTTCATCTATAAAACCTGGGATAAAAATCCAATATAGACCTGAAATTTTCCATTGTGCGGAAATATTTAATATCCAAGGAGTTAGTTTGGCTTTTTATTTAGCCTTTTTTTTTTTTTTTTTTTTTTCCTGTGCCCTCTCTTCCCAGTTTCTGTGTTACTGATTTCTATATTTTTTCCCTTTTCACCTAGTTCTAGGAAAGCCTAACCTCTCTCTTTCTGAGTGCTACACAGAATACATTTCCAACAATTGTCAAAGCCACCTGTATATTTTCCTCAGCTATGGTATCTCTTATCTGAACTTAACTGCTAGAAGGTCTTAAAAAACTGCTCTGCACCTCGGATCTTAGGGGACGTGAGCCTTATTTTCTGCAGGATCGGAGATCTTTGGTCCTTCTTTCTAGACCACTTATCTAGCTCTGGGATAATGTAGTTATTCCCAAAGGTTTCTAATCTTACATTATGGCCTCTGTGACGTGGGCCAAAGAGTTAAAAACTGAGACAGACTTCCCCACTTTCAAGTCTGAAGGCTGTTAAGACCATTACAGACAGAAAAATCAGCTGCAGAATTTGGACACTGCTGCTGACCTTCCCAGGGCTGGAAGCTGTGACCCAGGCAATGCTTTGTGGTCTCCCCTTCTCTGGAGTTGGCTGAAGCGCAAATCTGGGCTTGAAGTTCTGATGTTTGACAGGTGTTTGTGATCTGGGCTTTTGATTCCATTTCATCTCTAACAGTTTCTTTTTCCAAAGCCTTGGGCAGTTGCCCTTTCCTAAAACACATGCTGAGCACAAGAAACACCCTTCTTAAAAAACACAAACACTCAGAAGAGGAACACAGAGAACTGAAAGAGCTTTATCAAGAAGTTTTGTTTTCTATAAACCCTGCATAGGAAACCCTGGCCTCTGCGCTCCCTCAGCATTTTCTGTATTTATTTCTTCTCCTCCTCTCCAGATCAGGAGCACTTTCTGCCAAACAGAGAAAGGCTTTGTAAGATGAGGAACGGCACAGACTTTTGCAGCTTGTAAAGTATGTGCTGCCTCCTTCTGAGAGCTGAACTCTTAATTTCTGCCCGTGTTGCCTCTCATTCCCCCAAAAAGCCGCCCTTCTTAGTAATATCCCCCTTCTTTCCTGGACTCTTTCAGAAAAAAGGTTCATAATAACTCCTGCCAGAAAAGGGGAAGAGATCCTGCCACTGGCTTTTCTTCAAAGGACAGCAGAGGAAAAAAGCGGCACTGCGTTTTCAAGTGAAATTAGCTGCGAAAAATGAGGAGCAAGTGGTAGGAGGGATGGATATTTCCCCCAAAGCGGGGATCTTCCCTCCCACTTCCCCTTCCCCCGGGTATTTCCCCGAGATGGACTCACTTGCAGGTTGATGCTCTCCCCTTCTGAGGCCATCCTGCTGCCCCCAGATCCCTTCCTCGGCGGACCATGCAAGGAGTGGGGCACTCCGTGCTCCCGCAGCCTCTCTCCTCGCTGGACCGGGACGCGCAGCTGCTGGAACAGACCTGCTATTCATCTGCCGGCGGCCGGCCGCCCGCCTTGGCATCAGCTGGGGGCTGAGAGGGGGTGGCACGCCGATTCTTCATTGTGCAGGCAGCGTGTGGAACAAGCGTCCCTCTTAGACTTTCCATGACAGTTGTGCTCCTTACGTGTCGGCGCTACCTCCGAGCCCAGCTGAGCCTCATGAGCTCACTCGGGCTGGGACGCGGTGATGCGGATGGTGTACCAAGAGGTTCCTGGCATGGGCTGTGCGGCCACAGCAGCGATACCCAGCTCGCCCTCCCTCACCAGCACGCAGCAGAGAGCACGGATGAAAAACTAACGGGTAAAGAGATTAGGTCCAGAAAGTTGTGCCAGCTAGCTGCTGCTGCTGCAAGGAAGATATTGTTACAGCCGAGATGAAGTTTCCACTTCACTCTGTTTGTAGTCACTTCTTCTCATTTTTCTCCCCAGCCAAAATGCCCTTCCTTTCCCTTCCCCAACACTTTTTCCAGCTTGAATTTGATACGGCTGGTCTCAGCTGGAATGAAATCCTGCTTTTCGCTGAAGTTAAAAACAACTACAAATGACACTGGAATGGAAATTTATACAGCCAGAATCAAGTCATACCATAGAAAAATAAGTATTAGGTGAAATGCTCAGAAAAATCAGTGCAATTCTCTAGATTTCAGATAAATTCTGCTACTTTGCACTGCCTGCAGATCAGGTAGGCTTGTTTGGCTTTTTGAAGGACAATTTCTGCAGTTACAGTAGCATGGAAAATGTATGCTAAGTAATATATTCTGTTTAAACAGCTTAACCAAATGCATGTCCTAGTAGTCCAGCTTTATAAAAAGTGCTGACAACTCTGTCAGTAGACAATCTTGTCACACTGATGCTTCCCAGCAAAGGCCTAGGTTTGCAGTGATAATACCAAGTGCTTAGTACTGCAAGTTCGCTTCAAAGTGCTGATGAACTTACTCTGCCTGAATTCCTCTCTACCAGCTTTTTTTTTTCTTCCTTACAGACGTATGAGATGAAGAGGTGAGATATGTCCAGTAAGTGGCCAACGCCGTGCAGAAAAGCGGGACTAGGACACAGCTCTTTTGACCCCCAGGCTGTGGCTCCACAGCAGCTTAAGCCCACCTTGGTTAGGGATGCTGCAGCCTTGCCCAGCTCACCCCTCACCTCTGGCCTCTCCTTGGGCTGACACCAGCCAGCTGGGAGCTGACCCAGCCACAGGCTTATCTGGGGCAGGGAAAGGGGTGTACCCACACAGTTCATATGGAGAAAGGTTTTTTCTACTGTCAGAAGCTCTTTTGCTCCGTGACGTGTCTCCATGCAGTGGGTCAAGATTTCTTTCACTGGGGAGCAGTTCATAGTTCAGGTCCTTTTCCCCTCAAGCTCCTTGGGCCACATGGATGTTCCACATCCCTGGCAATCCTGACTTACAGTAAGGGATAAAGCAATAACTCTTCTGCTGAAAACATAATGCAGAATTGTCGTTTGGGCCAAATCTGGGCCCCTGTCCAACACCTAGACATGCACTCTATAAACCAACAACTTCCCTTCCAAAATGTATAGCAGCAGCTACAGCAACTGGCTTCTGTATTCTTGCTTTCTTTTGTTTTTATAACACAGTCAGTTTTCAGATTAATCGTCATCTTTTGAAAGAGAATGAAACAAAAAGATTTTGGTTCATTTAAAAGATATGCCCTGCTTACGCAAGTTTAGGTGAGGCTGACTCTGCAATCACAATGAAAGCCACCTTCATGGCTTCTACTCTTGAATGAGAATTAAGATCCCTGTGTCTTGCTGTCAGTTAAGTGATTGATTGAATGTTATGTTAGGCTATTCATTGCTACTTTTCAGCAACTGACGACTTTTTAATTTTATTTTTTATTTTTTTTTAAGGAGCACTTAAACCAAAATGCAGGCATCTGCTGCCATTGACTTGCTGTGCTGATGGGAGTCTGTATGTTAAAAAACAACTCCCTGAAAGTACACTATTGCAGAGACGTTCATATAGAAAGTTACCTGTTTTAAAATACTTCCCTTAGATTAATCTATGCAAAAAATAATAAATAAATCTATGGTTGTTCTATTTATAAATAATAAATAAATATGTCTGGTTTATTAATAGATAATTTATACTGCATATACTGTGTTTGTTGAGGCTGTTCCTGGGAATCAAAAGGAGTTCATGTTGTGCAGGTTCTTTGTGGACAAATCTCCAGTGAATGACCCATGAAGTCTGGCCAAAGTTTCAGAGTCTCCACATGTCATGAGCATAAAAACAAGTCCAAAATAGCTTCTGGTAGGCAGACTGGAATGAAGTATCTGTCACTTTATTTGGTGGATAAACAAATATCACCAGTGAACTATCTTCAGACAAGACTGCGTGATCTATAACAATATGCCCTTTTATAACTAGTTTTTCTTAGCACTGTATCTAAATGCTATGATAGGGAGTTTTTTCCTTACACTCTCCAAAGAAGTGTTGCAAAGAGTAAGAGTCTTGCACTATGTCCTCAGAATACCTATAGAAATCAGTCAAACTTTACAGTAAACCTTGTGTCCATCACTTCAGTCAAACTACGTTCCCAATTTGCTCTCCCAAGACAGCATGAAAGAGTTTTTCTGCAAAGCATGTTAGCAATAATGGCTGTATCAACCTCCCTTGAACTGTCTGGAGCCAAACACATTAGAATGAGAAAACTTCAAACAATAACATTTTTCTTGGAAATTTTTTGTGTATGTCACTAATAGCAAAGCTCAGAACTGGAAAATGAAAGAAAAGAATGAAGTGGGTTTATTTTAACTTGAATCATAATAGCTTACCAAGAAAGGGTGCCTAATGAACACAGATATAACTGATTTACTTGGTGCTAAATCTGGTGGCAAAGAGCTAACCTTTTCAAACTGTCCTTCTAGTAATTGTTATGATGCCATAATGCGCTATTACAGTGGTCCAAGGATGAAGGCGTAGAAAGTGCAGCACAACTTCTAAAAGGGATTGTGTGATGTGAGTGGCACCGCTCACGAGATTTACGCTCACTGACTCTTCCAGACTGTTTTTGTTAAATGAGATAAGCGGGAGACCTCCAAAACCCGACTGTTCTAATGGATGTTGATTTGGTTAGAGAGTCTTTTTTGGCAATATGTACTACAGATGGATGGGGAAAGAGCAGCGTTCCTTGAAAGGAGGGTGGGGAGTTCTTGGGGCATGACAAAGAGCGAGTACATGATTTCCCTTGCAAGATCAGCCCACGCTAGCTGAGAGTGGAGGGGAGGCTCAGTGGAAGAGCCGCGTTCACTTGGGAGGAGCACGCATGGCAAAGTTGCTTATTTCCACCCCCATCCTCTTCCCTCCCGTATGCCAGCCAAAGTTCTTGCGCAGCCACCCAAGAAACCAGACAGAAGAACTTATTCCAGCTGGGGAAAATAAATAAATAAATAAATGAATAAATAAATAAAAATTGCCAGGCTATTTTTTTGGCTGGGATCAGATCCCTGACCTGGTTCTGCACATAACTGCACAAACACTTATGCTGGCAGTAGAAGGGCGCCCAGCGGGAAATGGAAAAAGCAGCTGGGAGTGGAGAAGGGTGGGGACGAGCCGGTTCAAGCAGCATTGCTGCTGGATGTGTAAACCACAGCGCTGCAGTGCTGGTGCCACCAGTGGGGCTGGCCTCTGCAAGGGGGATGTGGGAAGAAGAGCTGCAATTCTCAGGCCTCAGCTCTGGCCAGCGGAGACTGCCAACAGCAGAAAGTGGGCCGTGCTGTGCAAAGATGGATGCAAGAATTACTCCTCCCCACAACTCTCAGATTTCTTGTGGTGCTTAAGAGGGAACCATAACCAAGACCACAAGAGTTTCTGTAGGACAACTACATTTCTAACAGAGCAAATAACAGCGCAACTTCACTTCTTAACCCTTCCCAGGCCTTCATTTTGTGTTATAAAAGTGGTTGTGTTTTGTTTTTGAGATACCCTTTCTCCACCCAACAATTTTGGGCCACCTCTTCATTATATCAGAAGAGGAGTGTGCTGCTGTTATGGGTGCATTCACCTGTGCCTCTGAAAGGATATGAAAAAAAAGCTTGGTTTATTTAGCTTAACAGAATGAAAAACAAGAGGGATACTGATGTCATTTACAAACCCATGAAGCTGGAAAACACCAAGGAAGCGGAAACACAGCATTAGCACAGGAACTAGTTAAGAAACTGGCCAAGAAAACATGCAAGGTTAGAAATTAGAGGAAGGTTCTCAGCTGTCAAAGTGCAGGCGCTGGAGAAACCAGCCAGTGCGAGCAGCAAGGACGAGCAACCGAACCCGTCTGGAGATGGGGTTTGCTCAGCCTACCAAGAGAACTACCCGATGTGGTTGCCAGTGGCAGCCAGAGACTGGGCCCAAATCCCATTTCCTGTGTTTCACTGGTGGTCATCTCTGAAGATCACAACTCGGCAATGCTGTCGTGCATGCCACCGCAAAAGTGAAGGCAAGCAACTCTTTGGCCAAAAGGACCATTTTTTTTTGCAACTTATTTAGGAGCAATAGTCCCATTGTCTATCAGTGAGTGGTAGGGTTCTAGATCCTGGCTGGCAGGCCTAGTTTCACCTTTAGCAGGAGAGAACCACAGAGCGTAGTTGGAAGGGGAATAATTTTAAGGCTCCAGAAACTAAGAACCCAAAGGTGCAAGCATATTTCTAAAATTCTCCCAAACGGTGACAAATGGATGTATACTTATCCAATCAATCACTAAATTACATGAAAGCAAGGCTGGAAGGGATTTTAAGGAATCACAGATTGCTTTTTCTGTACCAGGAGGTCAGTGGTCCCTGTCCCATTAGCACAGATGTTGCCCCAGCCTGCTCCAAAATCATTCCAGCTGTGGAGATTTCCAAGGGGTCCTGTCCCAGTGCTTCTATATCACCTCCCTTACAGCTAGAAATGGTTTCGTTAATACTGACTCCCCCCCCCCCCCCCCAAAAAAAAAAAAAATCCAAACCCTTGCTGCAATTTTTAGACTGTTACTCTTATCCTTTCCACGT